GCTGAGGGAAGTGTTCAGGACCACGACTGAGAAGATATTTGAAGTTTAACAACAAAATTAAATTTATTATCTGGAAATTATATTACTCAATTTTATTTTTTTAGTATTTTTGTTTGATTTAAGCAACTAGTCTTTTTAATTATAAGACTAGATCTAATATTAAACAAGTCAAATAGGTCCCATGTACAATAAATCTTTATATTCTAAAATTGACTTTGATTTGCATCAACAATAGTATTATCGATTCATAAAGATTTTTATAACATGTTAGTTACTTTATTCAAGAACCACCTCTATGGGCTTGGTGGTAAATGCCTGCAATCCTTGATATGTGGATAAAAATATAGAAGGATGATGATGAGACAGCCTGGGCAAAAACTATCTCAAAGAAAAAAACAAAAAAAAAAGAAGCAAATCAACCAACCAAATAGCACCACCAAAAAACTAATCACAAACAAACAAACAACAAAACTCCTGAACAACAAACAGCAAAAACAAAAGCTGAGCATGGAGGTATATACCTGTATTCCCATCTATATAGTGAGTTTATGTAAAAGGATTGGTCTGAGGCCAACTAGGAGCTTCAGAAGGAAGAACCTCTTTGAAAACTGCACTAGAATCAAAATGGCTTGGGGTTTTTGCTGTAGCAAACACAAAACTACAAACTCAAATCTCAGTATCACCACCATTTGCTGATACCCTTATAAAATACCTACCAACTTCATTTACTAATGAGTATTCAAGTTTCTATAGTTGGGAAATTACAGGGAAATTAAATTAGTTGGGAAATTAACATTTGAAAGTTTGAAAAAGTTGGAAATAATGTGAAATATTTTTTTGTAAATTATCATTTATTTCCAAATGTGGAACTGAAATACACATTTCACATGTCATATTCCCTGTGGTAGGCATGTTAAAAAATTCTAATTGATTTTATACTTGGTGAAGTGGGTTTTGAAAATTTAATTTCGCTAACACCCTGGAGGTTATGTTTTAAATAAGAAAGATCGAGGACAAGAAATCTTGTTGGTAGATATTGAAAACTTTTTATCATGAAATTCTGATCACTAAAAACAGTAGGGAAAATTGGGGGAAGGGTTCAATTGAGAGGTTAGCAAAACCCCCAAAGCATAGGATACACATTTGATGATTACATTAAAGCTTAAGAGGTAAAGTGGAGAAGTCATGTTCTATAATATGAGTAAGGCTGTAGGGGAATTAACTAGTTGTATTTCTAATAAATGAGTAAAATTCTGAAATGTCTTAGCTCCAAAGAACAAATGAATACGCCTAAAGAAAAATAAAAGGGAAGTTTAATATAAACTTTCATATGGTGCTAAATAGGTAGTTCAATATAAATTTCTATTTTTATGTAAACTTGTATTCTCTTTTATTTTTTGTCAGAAGAGGACTGTAGTAAAAAATCAGGACTAATATTTGCTAGGAACTAGGCAAATTGGGGGCACCCTCCTATTCCAATTGGCAGCGCCCTCCTATTTCAATTGGCTTTAATATTTTTGTTTATTTCTTTTTATCTTTATACAAAGGAGTTGCCATTCAACCAAGTATTTTATGAATACAATGTGTGTTGGTTAAGGCCGTTTCGTTGAATATTCTCATCCCTCCCTTTCAATCTCCTTTTCTCTCATTTTTTTCTTAATTTTGTAGGATATGCATTGAATTTTTCACTGAGATTCTACCTTACTCCCGTTAACAGAAATATAAACAATAAGGTAAAATGAAACCCCAATATACTGCTGGTGGGATGTAAACTTGCTCAATCACTCTTTAACACTTTCAAACAGAAATTACCCAGATGCCTCTCCATGGATGAATGGTTCAAAAAAATGTGATATATATGCACATGGAATTTTACTCATCTATTAGAAGGAATAATGTTACATCATTTGCAAAGAAGTGGGAAGACTTGGGAAAATTATGTTAAGTGAAAATAAGGCAAGTCAGAGAGACAAAGCTTACATGTTTTCTCTCATGTGGAAAGTACAATTAGTTTACAAATATATAAGTAAATATTTGAGTGGTATGCGAGTGTATACAATATATTAATTGAAACAGAGTAGAATCAAGGGAGGACTCGGTGTAATTCCTTAGAAAGGTAACAATATTATTGCTATATAGTATATGTAATTGTATCTATTGCTATATAGTATATATAATACATTGTTATATACATTATATATGACACTATTTAGTTTTTATTTTTGTTCTGGCTGCCCTGGATTGCAATCTTCATTCTATATCTTCTAAATAGTTGGAATCACAGAGTTGGCCCACAATGGCACACAATGGACTTATTGTTTGTTATGGGGATTTTGCTCCAGTTTTTTTACCCAAGCTGAACTCAAGTCATCATCGAATCTTCACATTCCTATTAGCTTGCTTATAGATGTGTGATATCATGTCTGGCCAGTAATCTTACCATTCTTTGCAAATCATTTCTAAATAATTATTATAATTCTAAGTAATAATTTCAAAATTGTTTCTAAATCATACTTTTGAAAAATATAATAAAATAAACTGTAACCCCTCTGTGCAGCATCTTTACAATAAAATAAAATTTAAAAAGGAGAAGAAAAAATGTATAAGACAAAATGTCCCTAATTCAGGGCAATATGTGCAATATATCTGCTATAATTCATACATGTATCATAAAATATATGAAATGCATTTATTTTTCTATAGATAAATTATCTCTCGTGTACAAATTGTGAAATAAAAACAATTTGGTTATGAAGATGTCAATCATGACGTGTGTGTGTGTGTGTGTGTGTGTGTGTGTGTGTGTGTGTGTGTGTAAAATGACCTGGGATTTTGCTATAGCCAATACAAGGCTATGAACTCAAATCATAGTATCACTACCATTTGTTGACACTCTTATATATACTATCCAACTTTATTCACTAAGATTCAAGCATCATGCAAATTAGGATTATATAGGATTGATTTTACAAAAGCATAAACAGAAATATTATCATTAAACAATGGAAAGAATAATAATGAAAATCTACCCTCCTTATGTCCACGTATTCTTTCACCAGATATTGGTGACTGTCTTTTAACAGTATGGGTAGTTTGATAATTGTATTTGAAATTGGTATCTATGAAGAACATAAGCACTAACCACTAAAAAATAAAAGGACTAAAAATTGAGGAGGAGAATGTTGCAGTGTAAATTTATAAACTTTTTTAGTTAAAAAATTAACACTTATTTGTAGACCATGAATTGAATTTTATAATGTGTGGTTGAGGGAGAAAGTGGAAAGAAATGGAATTAAATATATTTATATACTATTTTGTTGAATGGCAATACCTTTGTACAACCACTTAAAGATAAAAAGTAAACTAAAATAAAAAATAAAATAATTCAAGTAGAAAAAAGAAAACTGAAGAATAAATTTTTGAATTCTAAATAAGTGAACACTTTTTTTGCACAAACTTCCTACTTTTAAGAAAAATGTATATATCTGCAGATACTGTCCTGCCCTTTCTGATATCGAATAACACAGACATTCCTTTTTGCTTAGAGTATAATCAATTTGAATGTCTGTAAAGTCAGCACTTTGGGACATAAAATTGTTTTATGCATCAGAAAATTGCTAAGCTCCGAGTAGAGTATTATATGACATATTTGAGTATAGTATTATATGACATATTTGAATGGAATATAGCTCTATCATGCTGTAGAACTTAATGTGCTATGAGGATCGTGTTTTTATATGATACACTCCAGGGAAATATTGCTTTCCCATTAATCTTATTCCTAAAGCAAAGTATCATTAACCTTCAGTGTTTTTTGGTAACAAAACAAAAAAGTAAACAGACTGCTACCAGCTAATTGTAGATGACAGCATACATGTAAATGTCAGCTTACCTAGAATATGTCCTCATACAAAGGAGTGAAATCCAGCGCTTTGGATTTATAACACTTATTATTTCTAGAAATGAAATCTATGTTATTAAAATTTTAAACTCCATACAAAATTTTAAGCAAAATAGGATAAATGAAAACAAAAATTGAAAGTTATACATTAATCAAGCCAGATGCCCCTCAAAGTGAATCAGGAAATAAAAATGTGATACACACACACACACACACACACACACACAATCAAATTCTATGCTTGCATCAGAATGAATGATATTGCCCCATTTGTAAGGAAATTGAGGACTTGGATTAAACGATTAAGTAAAGTAAGCCAGACCCAGAGAAATATAAGTTGCATGTTTTTCCTCATTTGTAGTAATTATCTACAAGTAAACACAATGGATGGTAAAAGACAAAAAATATATACTTGGACATGATATATTAAACAAGATTCTAAGCATTCACCCAGTGAAACCAAAAGAGCATATTCTAAAGATGGGATCACAAAGGCCTAATAGCTATATGCATTTTATCATATAAAATGATGTTTATCAACATAAACTCCAAGAAATGGAAAGCTTTTTGTTATTTATTATTATTATTATTATTGCTGTTTTTGATTTCTGTCTTGCGTAGAAATTACCTGTGATATGGTAATGGAGTATCAGGAGTACAATAATGAACAAGCAATGAATCCTCTTTCTTTATAAGCCTGTAGAAAGAATCAAGGCATGCTAAATGAATCACATAGTATAGGAATACACATGAAATGTTTGAAAGAAAATCTTCAGAATCATCGTTTCCTCAGTTTTTGACATTTTGCCAGATAAATAGTATTTCTCACAGCTTACCAGTATTTTGTGAACAAAAAGAAAATAAGCATTTCAGTATCTATTATTAATAAACCATTGTCATTTTAAATTTAAAGTGACAACTAAGAGACACCATGTTGTCAACTGACTTTTTTATTTGTTTGTTTGAAGCCTTGGAGAAACATGTGCAAATCATTGATGAAATGCTGGAAGCCAGTTGAAATACAGTGAAATACAACCCAGCACAACAGGACTGCTTTCTCTCTCTTCCTTCCGCCCTGGGCCTTGGCAGCAAGTGAACTATGAGAATATATCAATTGTTAAGACTGTCGCTACTCTGGGTGTGCTTGCCACATCCCTGTTCTCCAGAGATAACCTTCAAAAGGACTCCTGTGCCCCAACAAAGGATTGTAGGGGCCTCAGTACCAAGGAGTGATGGGAAAATCCTGCATCGTCAGAAGCGTGGGTGGATGTGGAACCAGTTTTTCTTGCTGGAGGAATACACAGGATCTGATTATCAATACGTAGGCAAAGTAAGTACATTCTGAGATGTTACACATGTCCATTCTTACTCTATGAGTCTTTTTAAGGAACGTGGAAAGCTTCAAAATGGTGATTCTTAAGAAATTTGATTCTCAAAAAAATGGTTCGTTTTTTTGTTTGTTTGTTTGTTTTGGGTCCGGTCATGGGACCTGAACTCTGGGCCTTGGCGCTGTCTCTCAGCTCTTCAGCTCAAGGCTAGCACGCTACCACTTGAGCCATAGCACCACTTCCGGCTTTTTTTTTCCTGCTTATGTGGTGCTGAGAAATCGAACCCAGGGCCTCATGCATGCAAGGCAAGAGCTCTACCACTGAGCCACCTTCTCAGCCCTCCAAAAAATGTTTTTTAATGTATGGATTATGTTTGAGAAAATAGGGAATGAATGTACTAGACAAACTTGTTTGATAGAATTTATCCTGCCCAACAACTATGGACTAGGGAGCAGCTGGAATTAAAGCGTTGAAACTCATAGATAAAAAGTAATGAAGATAATATATTACTACAGTTATTTGGAAGATCAAATTATATTCACACACATATGTGCATACATATACACATTTATATTCAATTGGCATTGACTTCAATTAAGAAAATGCAATGTATTAACACAGATGTTTAATATTCTACAAAATGGAAAGCAAAATATATGTCCAAAGAATATGAGTACTGCTTATTTATATGAGTGTATTCCACATTTTTTAAAGTCATTTACAGAGAGGAAAACTGTATAATGTTTCTAGGAGATAAAAACAAATTGATTATTGGTGTATAAACTTGGAAGCAAAGAGCCCTGCTTCTCTTAAATGTGTACTAAGATTTATCTTTTAAGAAAAAAAGCCTGTTTCTGAGAGAATATATTTTTATTGGAACAATTTGATAAGTCTTAATGTACTCCAATTATTTCCGTCTTTATTGCCGCAATGGTAGTACTGCTGACTAGGGTGAGAAAGAAAGAAGCAATATAAGTGATCTGAGCATTCAGCCACACATAGAAGACTCATCACAAGTCTTATTGATTGAATTCTAAAGACAAATGTAGAGGTAAAGTTTATGGATCTTATAATAGAAAGCTTTGAGGTTATGACACCAATGATGTAAAAATATAATAACAATCTGAGTCATGAAAACCATGTTTGTATTTGGTTCTAACTATGTTTCTTTGCATCCGTTTACTTTCACCTAACCTTCAATGAACATTTAATAAAAGTTGGAAAGTTGATTTAATATTATATATGATATACATTCTTGTGATACTCAATCTACTACTTACTTTCTTTAAGTTTTTCAGTGCCCATAGAAACCAATACCTTGAAATCAAACACTGTGCATCCTACCTCCTTTTGTCTGTAGGACTTAGAACAGAATTTAGACTACTTGGTTGAGTAAATTAACTTTAGTCAGACATCTGGTGCTACTTGGCTCTCTTGCAGTGAAAACTAGTGTAGAATTTTAAATCACTGGAAATAATGAAGGTTGGTTAGTAGTCATGATATATGCATATCAATAATTTGGAGATCAAACTTAATCCTCACTAACATGCTATTATATGCAAAGAAAGCTGAAAAAATTAATAACTTTATGAATGTGTTTGTTTCTTCTTACACATTTTATGCTGTACTAAAGGTGAATGCACATTCAGTAGTATGGTAACTCAGAGTATTCACCGGCCACAGGCCTGATTTTTTGTCTATGTTTTAAGTGTGTTGAGGATCCTGTGTTTCTTAAAATTAACTATATGTCTCTATCCCCATCTATCTACCTCTCTACCATCTATCTATCTATCTATCTATCTATCTATCTATCTATCTATCTATCTATCTTCTCTAGGTATAGTTCTCCCTTCCCATCTACCTATCTAAACACTTCTATCTATGTAGGTCCTTAGGAATATATGCAAATATTTTGTCTACAGTATATTTATTAAATATTATTTATATTACATTCATTTTTTTCTGCAATTTAAAACCATATATATGTATGTACACACACCCATATATATGGATGCACTAAAAATCAAAATTAAATATAAAATGTTTTAATAAGTGTGCATTTAACAAATACAAGGTGATGATTTTGTATTTTTTTTTTTTTGGGTCCGGTTTTGGGGCCTGAACTCTGGGCCTGGGCGCTGTCCCTCAGCTCTTCAGCTCAAGGCTAGCACTCTACCACTTGAGCCACAGCACCACTTCCGGCTTTTTCTTTTTGCTTATGTGGTGCTGAGGAATCGAACCCAGGGCCTTGAGCATGCAAGGCAAGCGCTCTACCACTGAGCCACCTTCCCAGCCCCTATGATTTTGTATTTTATGTGGTATAACACTCTAAAATCTAGTAAACATTCTCTTTTACACTATCTGTAAAAAAACAGATTATATTATACTATTTGTAACAAATTTATTACATAAAGACTATGTAATAAATTTAAGAACTCACTTTTTCAATTTTACTTCCTGAAGGATAGGAGCGATGTGACACTTGCTCTAAGTGTTTCAGTATCTCTAGGTTGATTTAAAGTAGTTGTTTATATGTTCTCTTTCATAGGCGTAGAAGACAGGGACAGGCGTCCTACTATAGTGAGCACGTTTGGGGAGTTCAGAATAGGAATCAGTATCGGGAGTCACATTCCAGTATTTGGGGCAGTAAGAAAGCTAAAAAATTTACATGCATGGAGAAAAAGAAAAAATATCATTTGGCCACCAAGTTCTAAGTGAATATATTGAATTATTATAATGATAACAAAGTTGAAGGGAACTTAGTAGCATTCCAACAGTTACAGAAGGCTTGGTATGCAAAATTACCTCCCATGTTCTTTCTCATTAATAGTTAACTCCCCTCATTTGGCCTTCATTTCCTCATCTGATTATGCTAGTTTATATATTTTAAAATAGCATTATTATTGTAAGATGGAATTAAATATTATTAAAATAGTGTTAATGTAAAGTTTGTTTTGTACCCATTTGTGAAAGAAAATAAGAAATGGAAAAGGGAAAGAGAGAGACAGAGACAGAGGAAAGAACATTAGTGATTTTTAAAAAAAAAAACTCTTTGTTAAGACCTTTGCGATCATAAAGAATTACAAGCTTAAAGACATCCAGAAAGAGTTATTTTTGACAATTCATCACAAATCTGAACTTTTTAATTTTATTACATTTTCTTAATGACTATCATGAGCTCAAATAACCTAGATGACTGGGTGGTCTACGGGATAATTTTAGCACTCTGTTCCTGGAATCCTTTTGTGTTTTGTTCTATTTCATTTAATTTTTATTAGCCTCAATTAGTTGTACAAGATTGTTACATTTTTACATGTCTATTTATAGATACAGTGCATCTTGATCAGTATCATCCCTTTCATTCCCTCCTTTTCTCCCTATTTTCTCCAGCCCATCTCAACCATTGTCCTTGCTCCCTTTTTGTCCCTATATATAAGATTCTTATGACAACACTTACCCTCAGCACTCTCTGTTCTATCCCTTTCTTCCCACTGCTAAAATTCCCTATCCAGATAACTTTCAACTTTCTAATGTCATTTTGTCTTACTACAGGTTAATTAATCAAAGGGGTTCACCATTGTATCTGAATCTTGCAAGTGTTACCTTTTACTAATTAACTTAAATCTATCTATCTATCTATCTATCTATCTATCTATCTATCTATCTCTGACATCTGTATGAGAGAGAACAGTTGACTTTTTTCCTACTCAGCTGGACTTTGTTCTTTGATAATTTAGTGTGCATGCCAGTGTGCTCCTAGCTTCTGGTTAACTCTGGCAGAGATTCTGCTGGACCTCCCAACATGGTGAGATGCACCCTCAGGAAACGATTCTGTGAAGGTCAATAGTGTAGGATGGAGGAGCCCTGTCCTGGACCTCCTCAGTTGCCATAGTTTCTTCCCCCTCCCCACAACCCCCTTAGTAAGAAGTTCACTATTCTTCTTAAATTCTTATTCATAAAGATTTTCTCAATTATCATCATACTCTTTTCCTTGGGAATGTTCAGTAGGGTTTGCCTTTCTAAACTTAGCCCTCTATAAAAATTCATCACCACTCCTCTGCCTTAGGTTTATAATGATTCTAGACTCTCTGTCATCCTTTGTAAACTTAAGGTCTCCAAACACCTCTGTGAATGATTATCAGGAAGACCTTTTAGGTACTATTTCTTTTCATCTAAATATCCTCTTGTCAGAAAGATACTTTTAATCATTGAGTCTAAAAAGTCTCTGCCAATGTCCTCTACATCATTCTACCACATTCATTTTGTGACTACTTCAAACTAAAATTACCACATTCTTTTAGCTTATTTTTGAGTAATCCCTCCACCCTCTTCGGTTTAGGTTCATTTCTAGATAAATCATCCCCAAGGTTGACTGGTGTGATGTACTTCAAACTTCTGAGTAACTAGACACATTCTAACATGCATGGCTTACTTATTGAGATGTCCTCTTACTAACTTTTTGCCAAGGATATTTTCAAACTATGGTTTTCATTAAAAAGGCAGTGGACAGCCAGGCAATGGTGGCTCATGCCTATAATCCTAGCTACTCAGTAAGCTGAGATCTGAAGATCGAGGTTCAAAGTCAGGCCAGGCAGGAAAGGCCAAGAGACTCTTATCTCCAATTAATCATCAGAAAACCGGAAGTGGTGTTGTGGATCGAGTTGTAGAGTGCTAGCCTTGAGCTGACAAGCTTCAGGACAGCACCCATGCCCAGAGTCCAAGCAGACAAAAAAAAAAAAAAGGGCAGTAGACAGGGAGTAACACTATAGAATAGACATACTAGCTACATCAAGAACAATCCACTGACCAGAAACATAATTGCCATTCGCTAATATTTAGCATCTTGTTGGAGCATCACCTCGGAAAGAAAATATACTAGACCAGAAAAACAAGCTTAAGAATCTTAAGACATTTGAAGTCTTTCCAGTATCTTTTTCTTACTTTGATGGAATGAAACCACAACTCAATGAGTATGAATTTTGGAAAACTCACAAATACATGG